TAGCGAATGGTGATTTGTCAATTTTTATATGTCCCATCTTTTTGTTTTTTACTAATATTTTGGTTTAAAAAAGGTTCAACATTTTTTGACAAATTAAAGTATCAAGATTCAAGATAGCACTCTCTAAAAATGAAATAGCAAAATTCTGCTATTTGAATTAGTACCAGGATTTTTCACTAATAAAATAGTCGTTTTCACTTTTAAATAGTTATTTTTTACTACGTAAATAGTTAAAGTTTGACTAATTTAAGATTAGTCACAATCTTTGACTATTTCTGAGAGTTAAAATTTCTTTAATCGTTTGCGGCCAACCACAAAGTATTATTTCAATTAAATGCATATACCTAAGCTCCATGGTTAAAACAAATAAAGATGCAAAAAGTTTATCTCAAAACAGCAACACAAATAGTATATTCAACTTTAAAATATTATGAACAATATTTATTGACAAATAAAATTGAGCGGCTGACAGCCGAATGGGTTATGACAACAAGTTGACAAGTGACAGATCTGAGTTCAATCCCCGGCTGGGTCAAAACTTTTTTTTAATTTAAATATACTAAATTGACTATTTCATTCAGTATAATTTGACTAATTATTAGTGACTGCTTTTTCGCTATGTCAATTAGTCAAATATGACTTATAATTAGTTATTTTTGACTAATTTATTTTAAGAGAGCATATCAAAGCTGGCATAAAAATTTTACTTATTATTTTGATAATGGGGGAATCTGAAGACAATTTTTCGGAACGTCGTGGTTGGAGGGACAGGATAGTACAAAAACAAAGTGAAATTTGTTCGTGGGAGGGGGTATAAAATATTATTTGAGATTGCGTGAGAAATAAAGTAGGTGTATGCAAAATTTCGTAAAATTGGGTAATTTTGATGACGGAAAGAAGAGCAAGGGGTGGAGCAAGCCCTAATTTTACAAATCAGGTATGTGCAAAATTGTGCAGGATATGTTCAAAATTATGATTTATAATAATTACATTTTATTTTTGTTTTTTTACCATTTAAATTTAAATTAAATAAATATAATTTAACTATTTGAATTCATAAGAGGGGTCCAAATTACTGGGTATTATCATATTTAGTCAATACTGTTAAGATTCATTCCTGTTTTAAATTAAAAATACTTTTTTATAGTTGATTTATTAAGATTATTTATCTTATTTTAACTTTTAAATGAAACCAGTTTAAGTCATTTATTTAATAATTCTAAAGAGCAAACCTGTAATGACAGTTACTATATTTCTTGTAATCACTGTGACTGATTCTCAAATCAAAGAGAGCTTGGCAAAAAAAACAAAAATGCAATCTAGATCACATCTTACTTGTGTTAACATAATTAACCTATAGATAAACAAGACTGATTAAAGTTAATCATAAAATTGCGGTGGTCGTAAATTGGTATTTAATTATTGGGAAATGTCCTGTAATTGGAAAAAAACCAATTATGGTCTCATGACATGTTCACATATCCCATCCGTTGTTAACGATAAAACTAACGGTTAATGATCCGATTCATTTACCCCTTTACCACGTTTTACAGCTGATGTAATTTTTCAATTTTTGGGTTTTGTCACAATGCATTTCACATGCATTTGAATAAAACATGCGCAACAAATGGTTTGTGTACCTTATGTCTAGACATTTTTTCAATGCAAGAATTGAGAGCAGATACCTAAATTGCTGAAATTGTTTGTAAAAATGCGAAATTGTGAAACATGGCAGCTATTTCCGACATTGTTTTATTGTTCTGGTCAATTTGATACCATCAATGGTCCGTATCGTTAATTGCATAGGTACAATGCAACAGTTTTGTTGTGGATGCAATTATTTCGTTTAAGTGTGCTCGCTTACAAAATATATAATATTTTTAATATTTCTACGCATGTACCCTTTTATGAGGAAAATAAGGCAGAAATTTTTTAAATTTAATTTATTTAAATATCCTACTCGACTCAAGTAAACTGGAGTAGTAACTTGGGCCAGTATAACAATTCTATTTGAAGAAGGTTGGTTACATTTAGGTAAATTATTAGGTATACCTACTAAATATGTACAAAATAATATTTCAGATTATTTAATATTCTTAAAAAAGATTTAAAAAAGTTATTCTATCGGACATGAAAAATAAGACAATGTAAGAGATAAATGTGTCGCTCAAAAACACTAAAAACTTTTTTCTATATCGAGCTCATTATGAATCGCATTCGCGTGTAACTTTCTCACACGCAAATCATGAGGAATTTTTTACAAATTTGACAACACGATATGTCATTATTATTGAAACGTCAGTTAGCATATTGTTAAAGTTTTCAGAAAAAGAAAAAATAGTATAAAGAACTCAAGTTTTTTAATTTATCTACTATTAATTCTGTATAACCAATGGTTTTGATTTACAAAAAACTGTATTATAAACATTAAAAGAAAAAATGCTTCAGCTTAGTGCTTATAAGCTATAGCTTGTAAGATTATAATCTAATCCAAGTTACGCTTAGTACCTACTCGTGAAAAGCTTTGTAAATACTATGAATCAATATTTAATTGAAGGCCCCCAGTCCAGAAGGGCCCCCAAATCTTAAGTAGTCTTTCTCAGTCCAACAAAAAACTATCTATATACGTTTTTTACGGGAAAAAAATTGGGCAATTTTCAGAAAAATTGACTTGCATTTTTCTCATTTTATTCAAAAAGTAATACAAAAAATGCAAAAGTAAATTTTTCTAAAAATTTACGAATTTTTACAGATGTGTAGGTACTATCCGTACACTGATATCGAAAAAAAAGTTAATTTCCGACGCTGAATATAATCATAATATCATTTTCTTTGATCAATTTAATTTAATGTTAAGTTGTTGATTGCTACTTTTTCAAATATATATATTTAAAAAAAATTCAATTTTTCTTAAAAAACACTTTTTAAGCCCTGGCTTTTTTCCCAAATTTTTTTCGACACTTTAAAACCCTAGTATAGGTATAAATATTTCAGGACCCAGCTTTACCATAAAATATAAACTGATTAAAAAAAATACCCCGGAGATTTCAAGTTTCTAAAGAATAACAAGCTATGAAAAAAAAACAAAATATAAAGTCAAAACTAAAAAAGATTTTTAATATTTTGGTCTCGGGAGCCCCTAGCTGCAATCCATCAGGAATTAGAAAAAAGGTTATAATTACATTAAATAATGGTTAATCTTAGACTTCCATGAGTAGCCCCTTGATTTTTAAAATTTAAATTAAAAGTTCAAATATAAGTATAGGTACTTATAAGTTCGCTGGAAAAGCTTGTAATCAATTTTCATATCCCTGATTACATTAAGAGTGTTGCAAAGGATTTGCTAAGAGGATCTACTAACAAATTTAAAATAACAAAACATTAATATTTACAAAACAATCACATTATTTCACAAGCAGACTAGGGGCCCCATTTTATTTTACCGCCCCGGGCCCCCGACTGGTTTAGTCCGCCACTGTAGGTACCACACAAGTTATTTTAGGTACAAAATATAATTTAGCACCTAGTTATTTTCGAGATATTAAATATTTAAGTTAAAAAAAAATTTAACACTGCAGTGCACATGTGCATGAAATATACACCCAAAAACGTTTGTTATGGAAGAATTCAAATAAGACAGCTGAGGTAAACATGGTGTTTGTCATTTTGTCAAAATAACAAATTTTAACTGATATTTTCAACTTGATATTTTATCAGAAACTTTTTGTAAAATAGAAAAACCAATTTTTGTTTTTACATACTTCATAATTCAAAATAATGTGATACAATCAAAAACTTGCATGGTATACCATGGTAATTTTAATAATAAAACATTTAATTCATGTTTTTTTTGGTTTAATATACCTACAAATGATAAAAATACTTCTGAAGTATCAATTCGGCACCACAATATGGATATTAATTTTACCATTGTAAAATAAATAATAAAACCTTTTAAGTTTATTAAAAAAATAAACAGCGGTGTAATGAACACAAGAAAGAATATGTTTGTAATAAATCACACTTATGCACGTGCATGAAATTTGAAACGGTTTGAAATTGCAAAATAGTATTTTTTTAACAAAAATTGTCAACATAATCATCATAATCATTACATACACAATAGTTCCTAGAATACACTGTTGCAATTATTCGCGACAAACTCATTAAACTTAAAAGCTTCCAAAGGCCGTTCAAACAAAATTCCAAAAATAAACATAATCATTAAAATTGTAACAATTAAATTGCGACAGGAAATGATTCAATAGAAATTTAATACTAAATAGAAGGTTTTAGCCTCTATCATGTGTTTTAAGGTATCAATTGAATACAGAAGCCCTAAAAAATAATTACAATGGATCTCTTTAAAGTATTAAATAACCGATAATGTTAGAAAAGAATTAGCTATTTGCCTGGATTGTGGTTAAATTATTGCAATCCATCTAGATTTGTATGTAGGTAAATAAATTATAAAGTAATTAATATATTTATGTAATTTTAGATGATATGATATATTGGTGTGATTTACTTAATAACATAAAAAATACCTACGTATTTTGCTAATTTTCTTGAGCATCACTTAATACTAATTGGCATGCAATTAGGTAAAATGCTGCAATTTTTCTTTTCCTGTAATAAATCGAGCATATCATCTTTATCATCAATTTTACTTATCCCGGCAGTAAATCCAATATCGTTGAACATTAAAACCAGGAGATGACAACCACTTTATTGATGGAATATCGTTAGTTTTTCCTAAATCACATCCCTTGTGATCATAGGATTTGCTTAAATTAACCCAATGTGTTTTGTTATTTGACAGTTGTCAGGATAACCTGATTTTCAGGATGCAACTTCCTTGCCATATTATCTCATAGATAACTCGATAAAGGATTACAAAACTGGTTATCCCCTGTTATTAAGTGTTTGGATGCAGATGGTAAACAATAGGAGAGTAAAACATGGTAGATGATTTGCAACCTTGGATGTAGGTCACTTACCTCAGATGACGGTGAGTCGAATGATCCGGCACATGAAGCAAAAACAATACACTGACAGTCAGTTCACACAAAACCACGTAACAACAACGACAATCCACGTGCAGAGAACGAATTTTTAAATAGTCTCACAGACCGAATAGGATCGTAGGAAACACTGCTTGCTCGAAAACTCGCGCATCGAGCCCTTCAATTCAAAGCCCGCTCGATGTGCGTTTCGATTGCGCAGAGGGCCTTCGCGCCACCCTATGTTTACTACGATTCCGATGCGGTAAACTACGTTGGGGCACGTACTTACGCTCAGTAACTGTCATTTTCCTTTTTTGCACGGACCGGGAGTCAAGGCTACGGCTTTTGAATATTTACACGATAACTGAACAATTTGGAAGAAGAAAGAAGAAAATCGTAAAGGATTTATTTTAATTAAAAAAATATGAAACAAAAATTAAAATTTAAGAAACATTTTTTTAGTATTATGCCTTATAAAAGTAAAACCCATACCTAATCATATTAAAACATATTTATACTTATATAGGGGCTTCCAATACAGTACTTAACCAAGATACCATTTATGATTTTTAATCAAAAATCACATAATGATTTTTTTCTACTCATATTCCATATTATTCACATTATTTGGGGATTTTCGTAAATAATGGTAACCAATATAACCGCCCGGCCTAACAACGGGAATATTGAACTCATTATTCACGTTGTTAGGCATCAGTGATTGGCTGATTTCAATATTCAATGTTATTTGAACCAATCGGGTTTTAAATTGGGAAAAATTAAGGTTAACAGATGTCAGATTTGTATAATACGAGGGGCGACTATAATGATCTTAAAAATCGGGAAAATGTGAGGTTATAAAAAATTTTGTTATCAATGATAATTACTTAATTGGAGTAGAATTTTTAAATTAACAGTTTTATGGGATGCTACTATAAATTCCTGAGCATTTCTAGTAGAGTATTTATGATATTAAAAAAAAAATCGACAATAATACGAAAAATAAATACAAAAGTTCAATTGCTATATTTGTCTTACAGGAGTGAATTCAAGGGGGCAACAAAACCTACACAGAAAAAACGCTAGCATATCATGAATGGGTGAGCCATTAAATCAATGGGATCTTGTAATCCGTATTCCTGAATAACAGTTCCTATAATACCAATGGGTAGTTAGCACTTGGTTTATAATCGTTTACTGTTTTTAAATTAACAACAAAAGTTATCGCTCCTAAATCTATTGATATTCATATTGATATTTGTTAGAATGGTAGAATGTTATTGCATTAAATACTAATTTGATTTATTTAATAACGTTACTATTGTATGTATACTATGTCTACATTTAACGCAATAAATTCTTTGACATTTAGGCAAAATATTTCCCTATTTTGGTTTAATAGTAATTAATTGGGCAAATAACAATTTATATTGCTTCAATTTTAATGCATTTAATGACAGCGCTGTTCTTGGTACTATGTTAGATTTTTTTCTGTGTAATTTTTCTGACACTCAAACATACCACTTATTGCAAGGTAAATTTTAATCTTAATTGTTTTTAACCATAAGCTTGTTTACATACACCTTACTAATAAGGATTTTGACGTTTTTCTTGATTTTACATTTGTGGACATTGAAATCCTGTGTTTGTTATATGATTAAAATAATGCATAATAAAGTCTAAAAGATCGATGGGTTGGTGTAAACGATAATGAAATTAAGGTAAGTTTTAATAAATAAGGTTTATTAAAGTCTTTTTATATTTTAAAACACATTTTAATTTTAAATGTCAAACTGACAATTCGTTAAATCCTAAAATTCACTATATTTTCTCACTAAATATAACTCGTGGTATAATTAATAATTGATAATATTTACTCATTGAAACCGAAGCAGCATATTTCACTCGTCCTGCGGAATCCACTTGTTATATAACATATTAACAAAAAACAAAATATTTAAAAAAAGATAGGCCTGCAGTTTGATTTCAATCAATTGATATTGCTGATGCACCCCACATTTCGGAAAAAAGCATATTGTTACTTTTGCACCCTGTATATGCTTAAATTAAAATATGAATGAAAATGTTCACCACAACTTTGTAACTAAAGAGCCAACCTACAATTAAAAAAACATCAAAATGAGATAAGCGGTTCGCGAGGAAATCAACATAATAAAATTACGACCAATTTCTGGTGGCCAGTTTTTTTGCTGCTGAGTGTATAATAAGTTTTATTATGAATTTATTACTAACCATAAAGTTTCACAACTGTAAAGTATTTTAATTATCTTTATTCAACGTTATTTTTACGAAAGAAAATTACTTAGATTTTTTATTTTAAGGAATTTATTTATTTTAAAAACTAGAATATTTAAAGGGCATACTATATATCATAGCTATTTTTATCAATAAGATAAAATGCGTTTTAGTTTTAATCAGTGGCGGCTGGTGAATTTTGGGCACACCCATATCTCAGTTATTAGACATGGAACCCACATCAAATTAAGTTTATAATGAAATTATATAGACAAGTTCTGCACAAGCAGACTTTAAATTGAAGTTTGCGAAAAAAAAGTTAGTTTTTAAGTGTGCGCCCCAGCCTCCTGCCCCCCCCAAATTAAGATAATTCAAATTAAAGTGGTACAATATTTAATTCAGTTTATCGGCAAATTTAATATTTTATTAAAAAAAGTATTACAGATTTTATACCATTTCAATTTTTTTTTAAATTTAGTAAAAGAAATAATAAAAATTTAAAATGGTATAAAACCTGTAGACTACAGGCTGTAGTTCTTAAATTTTTTTAATAAAATTTGAAATTTGTCGATAAACTTCAGTGAATTAAATATTGTACCACTTTAATTTAAATTATCTTAATTTGGGGGGCAGGAGGCTGGGTGGCACACTTATAAACTAACTTTTTTTCGCAAACTTCAATTTAAATTCTGCTTGCGCAGAATTTGTCTATATAAACCATATTATAAACTCATATAAATTTGATGTGGCTCCCATGTCTAATAACTGAAATATGGGTGTTTTAATGCTAAATATATTTAGTTTTGTTAATATAAGTTATACCTATATTTATATTTGAGGAGTGATTTTTCAAAAGGCCTTATTTCCATTTTTACTTGAATGTTATTTTTTAACAAAATCCCAAAGGTATGGTTAAAAGGCATATATTAACGGCGAAATATGACAGCAGGTCTGAAGTATTATTAAATATTCATCAGATTTTTTTTTTAAATAATCTATATTGCCCTAACCTACACAGGTTAAAGTCATTTTTTTTTTAAATTGTTGCAAATGGAAATACGACCTTTTGAAAAATCACTCCTCATTTATTAATTTTACTAACCATAAATGGTACTTTATTACCGACTTTAGGTATATCATTTTGAAATATAAATTAGAGACAATGAAAATATAAATGTTAAAGGTTTAGAAAGGAAGAACAGATCTGTTACGTCGACGTAGTAAATATGTTGTATTTAATTTGATTTTATAACGTTATTCTTTTGGTCTCTTGGAAAATAACGTATTATCCAAATAAACTGTGATATTTTTATTAATAATTATAATTTGAAACAAATTTAAAAGATTTGTTGTTTAGTATTTAAATTTTCATTTAAACTTTAAATTGTTTCCGCGTGCTCCAATATATTTTTATATATGAAAATCTGGTAAGCACTCCTGAAAGCATCTGTAGCAATAGTTATACCTGTTGCACCTGTTTAAATATATCTTACTTTAATCAGTAGCAGTCCTAGATATATCTAGGACTGCTACTGATTATTATAATAATTTGCAAAATCCATAGAAAAGTAAATTATTTACAAAGAAAACTAAAACTTGTGTTAAATTTATTGTCCTAACTTTAATCAAAAACTAAAAAATAAGGTATTTAAACAAACAAATTAAATAATAAAATTAAGTTCCTATGATTAAACGTGTACGACTAATGCACAATAAAAATAAATTGAACGTAGATAAATCTAGCAAATTAAGTGCATTACAGCGGGCATGTATTCACCGAGGTCTCTTTAAAGTGGGATTCTGATTATCTCTTTCATGGAATGAAAAATCACTGGCCTGGAAAAGTTCAAAAGCCGCACACCAAAAACTTAACAAATGCGGAAAATTTACCAGAATAAGGAAACAATAAAGATTCTTTAACATGATTAATGTTGTAAATAACTTACACATGAAAGGTTTTTGTATGAATTACTTTTTTTGGAGATGAAGTTCAGAAAGAATATGGTAATGGGTATTTAAATATAGGTATGTAGATAAGGCGGGATGTGGGTCAAAATTACCTAGGTGAAAAGTTCTTTAAAAATCCAACACCAGAATCACACCAATGTTGTTTTGAATTAAAATATAATCTATGAAAAAATTTAAAAACCTTCGGATGTTTTAGTATATTTTCTTATTGCACTGTTTTGCACTGTTTTTCCAAAACATCTTTACCCCTAGGTATAATTTTAAAATCTTTAGGAATTTCTGCTTATCTAGGATATGTTAGGTTTTGACACCTATCTATTTTAGTATACTATAAACATAACAGAACATATGTAGTGGCAATCTAAAAATCTAAACTACATGCTTACTTAAAGAGGATTTCGTGCCCTTTTCTAAATGGCCTATCTTTAAAGTGTCAAAACAAATCTGGGAATTTTCTTAACTAACACGTCAAACCATCGATTTCTGCAAATAATTGACTCCACCTTTTGTCGATACCTTGTAAACCAGGCAATCCACCCTAAATTAAAGAACCCTCAGCAGTGCGTGGCCCCTGCGACGCTTCATGTGGGGTGGCAGATTATGGCAAAAAGGGGTTGGATGTAAAAACGGCGAGAGTAGCACATCCCCTAGAAGAATATTTATACTTAAGATAATTGCATTTGTGCGCTAAAAAAGCCTATCAGGATATGACCAGACAGAGGACGTTTTGAGTGATTGCGAATATTCAAATTCGGCGCTGTAGAAAGGGGGAGTGAATTAGAATAAATATGTT